AGCAACGATTGTGAGAATAGCGCAGGACCAGGCAGTGTTTTGTTCTGTTGTACATAGGGTTGCTATGAGTTGGAACCACTTCTGTAAGCCCTAACAACAGGAACAATATGCAATTTAGGATAAAATTTGCACAAGGAAAGGAAGCTGTCGAAGGCAGAATCAGGCTTAGGTCGGAGACTGAGAGGTGAGAAATGCGCGCAGGGATAGTCAACAGGAAATGATGTCAGTACCCCTGGGGCTGAAGTTAGTCTACACACGAGGCATTAGACTCTCCTGGCTAGCTGTGTGCGCAGGCCCCGCCCACAGAGAGTTCGATTTAATTGGGCTGCAGTAAAGTCTCAGCTGATTCTAATGTACATACAGGATTGAGAAACACTAGGCTAGTGGTTCCCAAAGTGTGATCCTCAGACCAGCAGCATCAGCATCCCCTGGGAACTTGTTAGAAATGCAAATTTTTGAATTCTACTTCAGACCTCCTAATTCAGAAACTCTGGGTCAGGGCCCAGCAAACTGTTTTATCAAGTCCTCCAGGTAATTCTGAAGGATGCTAAAGTTTGAGATCAGCTACACTGGGCTAAAGTAGGGTAGAGTTAGAGAAGCACGCCAGTAATGGGATGAGGGCCTGACGTCCTTAAATTTACGACTCCATTTAATGCTACCTCCTGGTGCTGCTCAACAGCTTCTGTTACTCCTAGAATCCTGGGACGGAAACACCTGTGCTGATGTACAGGAACTTGACCTTTCTATGCCTATAGCATCTGCTTTCTCAGTTTGGATTAGGGAAAAAAAAAACCCAAAAACTCTCGAGCAAATTATTCCTCACTATTATGTATTTTCCTTAATAAGGATAAAAACCGCCTTAGGAAAATGTCTTCATGTGGAGAGGCAAAGCAGTTCAAATATCAGGCCAGACTTTATTCTTTGCATGGACGAGGCCAGGCTTGTGCCCAAGTTATGTCTGTAGATACATTAGAGGAAACCCACTAGTCTAAACCAAGATGTTTGATACAATGACCACCAAAATATTTTTATTTTTTAAGTACATTCCAAGTTTATGGCATTTTACTTCTAGAAGATCCTTTTTGCTAATTTCCTCCAATGAGTCATTTTAATCCCTAAAACATTACCGCCTCTGCTTTTTGTGTCTTAACCACAGTTGGGATGGGCGGCTAAGTAGTTATGCTTCAGAACTAGGAAAAAAAAAAAATCCTAAAATTTGTAGCTTCACATGCTGATATTTCCTGCTATAATATACTTTTGCTTATATCTGAAATACAATAAAAGCCTGAAGTCTTTCCAGTGTTTACCAGGGCTCCAAAAACCAGGTCAGCAACATGGTGCTTAGACCTCCTGGTGTTGTTTTCTGTTCTTTGGTTGAATAAGCAATACAGGAAAACATTTACATCATGAAATATGTTATGACTGAAATACTGTATTAAAATCTCTTCAGCAGAAAACAATAAAGCTCATAAATCATGGTTATCTTTACAGTATATGGTGACGAATCATAATTTTTTAGATTAGCTGTCTTGATTTTTGGTTTCAGTATGTGTAAATATTGACTCAACATCTCTGTGTGATATCCAGGGTTAATGAAATATAATTTTACTTTAAATATTTGAGCACTTGCTGAGAGGCACTAATGACTTTAAAAAGGCAAAAGCACAGTGTTGAAACCAACAAATGTTTGAATCTGTAATAAAAGCATTAATACAACCTTTATTAATACAGTTGCTAATTGGTCTTAAATGGAATTTGGTGTTTTAGTTATAACCTAATTCTTTGATTATACATAACCAAGGGAAAACAGCAACGTCAGTGTTTTCCTTCATTACCATTTGGGAAATACGTCTGGTTTAGATAAATGGCGAGATTCTGAGGTGTTTGTTAGGGTGAGATTATCACTTGTTCCAGAATGACCAACTGTGCATGAATTGGCCAAAACGAGGTACAGTGCTCAGGATGCCGTGGAACCACCATCCCTAGCCTCATCTTAGACAGAGAAAGCCATAGTAAATCCACGGCAGAGGAACCCCGCACTCTTCCATGCTGTCTGTCTCATTATAGATAATATATGCTTACCTACGGGACAGGCAGCTGAGTAGTTATGCTTTTGATGCTTCCAAGTAAACTCACGCTGGGTGGATGTGAAGTTATTGTCATTTCATATCTCCTTTCTCTATTGGTCAGGTTAACCCGAAGAAAGGCAAGTACATCCTCACTGTTTCCTTTGAACTTTCTGTCAAGGTCGGATGCTGTGGCCCATAGGCAGTAACGTGCTCAATAAGCAAGAGTACAAAATTCCAGTTTGACTAGGCCAAATTGACTCAGCAAGTTCCTTGGGAACTGGAAGTGATCTTGTTCCCAGGCTGTTATGGATTGAATTGTGTCCCACAAAAATGTGTTGTAAATCCTACCCCCTATATCTGTGGTTATACTGCCATTTGGGAATGGATCATTTTTATTATGTTAATGAGACAGGATTAGTGTAGGGTGTGTCTTCAATCAATCTCTTTTGAGATATATTTAAACAAACAAGTGAGAGAAGCAGCGATGGAGGAGATGCCAAGCCACATGACGATCTCCCAGGAGCAGAAGCTCAAAAGAGACAAGGACCTGTCTCCAGAGCCGACAGAGACAGGAAAGCCTTCCCCTAGAGCCAGCGCCCTGAATTCGGACATCTAGCCTCCTAAACTGTGAGAAAATAAATTTAAGGCACCACTTGTGGCATTTCTGTTACAGCAGCACTAGATGACTAAAACAAAGGCCTAGCACAGTGCCAGGCACACAGGGAGCACACAGGAAATGTGTGCGTAATGAGGAGTGCAGATGCACCAGGGGATGCAAGGCAGAACTAGGTCACTTAGTACAGATCCCTGACAAGGCTCTTACTGTTCTTTGCCTTCTTCATTCCACTGCAATGCAGACCATCGAGGCTCAGAACCATCAGATGTTCAGTAAAAGTGTGATGCGTGATGCTGATAAACGCAAAAATCACTACTTCAGCTGATGAAAGGTCTTTCACTTAACACTAACAGACAAATGTGATTGTCTGTTAGTGTTAACAGATGATCTTTATAATGCATATCAAGTTATTAAGTCACTTAAAGGTTCCTGTAAGAAGTTGACTTCCCAATGACTAAAATATACAGTTGGGAAAAGTTTTGGGTATCCTGATTTTCCAATGTGCATTTTAAAAAAAAAATTTCTACTTTTTACATGGGCTTACCAATAATATCTCATTAGCTTTGGGGAGATAAACTCTAAGTAAAATATTTTGTTAAAAGTGAATAGTATTGGAACTCTGAACCCAATTTATTCAGAGACCTTCCATCTGAGCTCATCAAGTAATCAGAAACATTTTGATAAATATCCATTCTTCCACTTATAGACATGTTTTAAAAAATTTGGTGACGAACCACTTCCTCTAGGCAGCTGGCGTAACTGACTGGCATTAAAAACAATGTGGAGAAGGGAAAATCTCTGATTTCTCAATAATTTCTGTTAAACTATATACAAAATATTGAGAAAACATAGATACTTCACACTCAGGGCAGAGAATATGCAGCGCTGCCAAACCTGTGGGTGATCATGAAGAGATTTATTTGGCTCTCCTCCCACCCCTGACTGTGGTAGAAATACACAGAAACCTCTGCCTCATCATAAAAGGTCATGGCTTAAGAACTCTCCCACTGGCCATAGAAAGACATATAGTATATATAAAAGATTATTGAGCAAAGGCCTCCCTGAGAGACTGGGAATTGTTTCATTTCAAGGAAGTAACACCCAACAGTCCAAGAGTGTTTACAGATAATGCGGCTGTTATTTTTATCCGCATGTCCTGAGGGTATGAGCCAAACATTCATCTAATTAAAAACGTACTAGGTACACATCTTCACAGTGCGGGAAGACAATAACTTTGTCTGAAGACACACTCAAAACTTTACCTGAACATCTGCTTAATACTTACTATGACCAGATTGGGGGTGCATTGTGTCAATATTTCTACAGACATTGCCTCGTATCTACATATACATGTCTGATTCTAATAAGTGCCTATTGCAAAGTCAATCATGTATGTCTGTTTCTTTTTAGGAGAAAAATAGGGTGATTACATTCTAGTAAAGCATGTTCCTTTACAACTGTTTATCTCTTTTAAAAGAACTTTGTACAGAACGGACTTCAGCCAAGAACACGCAGAATGTACCTAACCCAGGGACAGATTCATTTGATCAGATTTCTCTGACAAATGTGTTTCACGGGTCAAAAGCACTGCCTTAGTGTTTAATACTTTTTAGTGGCCTCCATTTTAAAGAAAATTTCTCTTATATAAAACAATTTTGTAAACTACGCTCTCTGTACTTTATCAATCTGTATATCCAATGTTGCCTAGCTCAGTGACATTTTTCATAGGTCTGAGACTGCAGTTGAATATAAACATTAATTAAAGCATAGCATCAACTTGCTACTATACCTTAGAGGTAAAAATATGGAAAAAAATCCACATTTCTGTCAGTTCCCCTTATCTTTTTGAGATAGTCTTGAGATGGCAAAAACTGAAATGTAGCTTGTATTCTTCCATTTGTAAAGCAGGATAGAACCTGGGCTCTAGAAGGGTGCTCATTTGACAAACAAGGAAGCAGACTCTGGAGGGTCATTTGCTCAAAGCCACATGGATGGCTCGTGACAGTATCAGGCCCAGAACCGGAGTTCCCAGCATCTGGCTTCGCCTACCCTTCTTCTCCACAGGGGGTGCTCAAGTTGCTACCTGGGACTCATCTCTCGAAGTTTTGTCAACTCAATTGTATGTAGACAATATACATTTCTGACAAACTAAATATTTAGAAAAGGTCCCTCTTTTTAATTAGTCCTTTTTTCTTTTTCTGTTGGCTCTAGAGGGAACGCCTCCCCTCCCTTCAAAAGGCACGGGGAATAGTCTAAATTTCTGCCAAAGTACTACTAGAAGAAAAATAACTCCAATGAATGGGTGTACTAACTCTAAGCAGTTTTATAATTGTTATTTAAAGAACTCACCACAAAAATTTTAACAGTAAACAAAAGAGGTGAGAGGGAGTACTCAATATTAAGTAAATGGTCAAACACGTTTTCCCAAATACTCTCAGTAATTGTAAAAAATAAGCTATCAATATTTTCGATTTCTAAGAGCCAAATTTAATAAATTAACATATGCATGCCAGATAAAAACACAGAATCACAACTGAAAACCAATAATAATTTAACAGCAAATGCTCTGTGTTGTACATTTTTTATTGGTATGGATAACTTATTAAAGTAACAAATCCGAAAACACATTTTGCCTTTGCTGGAAAGAAAGTACTATGTTATAGAAGAACTAAGAGAAACCAGAAATAAACCATTCGAGAAAAGTAGGCATATGATATAGTCTATGGCAATGCGAGGGCCAGAGGTGCTGTTTTATCCATTTGTGGGTGCATGTCTGAGTAAGTATCAGAGATCAATGACATCGAACCCAAAAGCTAAGTCACGACAGGTTTACTCTGGGAAACATGCTGAATTACAACCACAGACTACCCAGGACGAAGAGGTTGTGCAGGTTGGTTGTTTTCTTTGAATGGGGTTCTTGCCAAATAGGGGGCTAATCATGCAATAGCTTGAGTTTCTCTTAACATGATAAACACCCAGGATACTAGAACTGGAAAGCGTGTGTTCACTGTTTTACAAAGACAGCTGAGCGGCACTACAAAAACAACAAAAAGGTCCTTCATTTTAATCTGGTTATATGCCCAAACCTCTAACCAAGAAATAATTCAGCTGTAAGAGCCAATTAAATTACTATAAAACATTCCTTCATCTGTAAACCATTTCTTTTTTTCCCTCAAATTAAAAATTTAAAATAAAATGTCTTCATTTTTGATAAGCAGCTCCACCACCAGTCTCTGGTATCGTATATCATTCAATGCAGCCATTGCGTCTAGTTCTGGAGATCTCATAAGAGTTGGGCCAAAAACAATTCCGAGGTTCTCTGCATTCATAAGATTCTCCTTTTCATGAAGGGTCACTCTGAAAAATACAAGGAAAAGAATAACTGACTTCATGTAAGCCATGGGGTGCCTCACTGTGCTTGAGCACTGAAAAAACAAGATTGACAAACGGTTTGTGCCCACTTAACAATGTATCAACTCTTCTGCTAAATTATTCCTCTGCAATTCTCCTTAACTTCAAAAATACTGACTTTCCTTAAAGTAAATTATGTCAACAAATAATTTAAACTTTGGGTAACTCACTGGGTTTCAAGCCTGAATTAAAGTGTTGGACTGTGTGAACGCAGCTCTATTTGTGGTTTATCTACCACAGCCTAAAGCTGCAGGGGTAGGCACGCAAATAGCAGAGAAGAGACTGGGTCATCTTGATTATTCCATCCTCCCTCCCTTCCTTTGGCTATCTTGTTTCCCATGGAGTATTTTTACAAGTCAAACAGTTTACTGAGTGCCGAAGGACGGAGAGAGTAATAGGAAATCGCTCAGGGTGAGCAACACTGTCAGGGTGCTTAAGTGTTCATATTCTTTTGACTGCTACAGCAATAGCACAGAGACTATAATTTGAGAGTTATTCCTTTTAGTGTGGAGTACTTAACTGCATCCAAATATGAAGCAAACCTGAATTGCCAAGTGAAGCTGTAAGCATATTATACAAAGGCTTTAACTCATGGTTCTTTTAAAGAGGGAAAACGTGGCTATCCATGAGACTAAATATTCATTGCTGTTTAACTCATGAGTTATACAGAGATGTTAAACTGTTCCTACTGCAGTGAGATCTAATATCCTATTCCAAATAAAAATTATGCAAAATACATGTCAAGTTCTGCTGTCTTTTATGTTTCTGATTGGTCTTATAATTTTGAAACCTCTAAAATTTGGTCACAAAATTTTGAAAACTGTTTCTACTTGTAGAGATCAAGGGTGACCAGGCAGGAAAATAAAGCTATGCTACTTTAAAACATTAGACCAGAACTAACTGAAACATTATTTTATTTTCCATTCTTTCCTTTCTCTCCTCCATCACTTTTGATGACAGTTTTCAGCACTGGCAACACTGATAATCTAAAATCCCATCGCTAAGTGCCTGTTTTGGAGCAAGAAGGTAAGAAAAGTGAGCCTTCTTGCAAGGTGATTTGCTCTTGCTTATTATATGCTAGTGTCTTTATTGTTGTTGTTAGGTGCCGTCAAGTTGGTTCCAACTCATAGCTACCCTGTGCACAACACAACCAAACACTGCTCGGTCCTGCACCATCCTCACAATTGTTGTTATGTTTGAGCTCACTGTTGCAGCCACTATGTCAATCCATCTCATCGAGGGTCTTCCTCTTTTTTGCTGAGCCTCTACTTTACCAAGCATGATGTCCTCCAGGGAGAAATGTCTTTATAGCTACCACCTTCTCCCCTTCCATAAAAATTAATGTATATCCTTAGCAGAATATTGGTTTTTCTAGCATATCTGCAAACATATACTGGAACTTCAAATACATTTATGTTGGAATCAAATCTGCATTCAGTATTGCAGTGCATAATTTCAGCATTCCCTCTCAATTAGGGCAACTTCACCCAAGAAGACAATATAGCTATGCATTTATTTATTCATTCAATAGATCATTTGCCCTTTCTTTCACCTTTCATCTCATTTTATTCTTAAGACTTGGATGCAACATAAGTATAAGATTAAACGTCTGTAACCTGCCTCTTGAGATGCGCCATGAGGTACCGGAGGGTTTCGCAGTGAGCAGGCGGCAGTAGTTTCAGTGCTTCATGAAGGGTTTCCAATTGCTCGTCAGGATCCATAATTTCTGAAATAGCAAGTTGAACACCAAGGAGAAACTTTACCAGACTCCTGATACAAACGGTTCATTTAATTCTTTTTTTGTGGTGATCTAAACCTGGCAAGAAATGCTCTTTCACAGATCCTTGCCCACAGCTTTGGAAAATATTTTAAAAGTTCAAGTCCCAGATTTCCAAAGGCTCTGACTTTTAATTTGGCAACACTGTTCACTTAGACTTTTTTTTTTTTTTTTTTCAGGTGGGGAAGCATCTAGTTTTTTAAATTTGAATGTTTTAGAGTCTGGTAACTAGGGAAAAAGGAGTCTTGGTGGCACAGTGGTTAAAGCACTTGGCTGCTAGTCAAAAAGTCAGCGGTTCAAACTCACAAGCTGCTCCGTGGGTAAAAGATGTGGCAGTCTGCTTCCATAAAGATTATAGCCTTGGAAACCCTATGGGGCAGTTCTACTCTGTCCTACAAGGGTCACTATGATTCAGAATCTACTCGATGGCAATGGGTTGACTAGGAAAATCAGACACTGGCTATTCAGGGTTTTTGTTGTTAGCTGCCATCGAGTCTTCTAACTCATGGTGACCCCGTGTGTTACACAGTAGAACACTGTTCCACAGGGTTTTGTTGGCTGTAATCTTAACAGAAGCAGACTGCCAGGTCTATCTTCTACAGTACTGCTGGATGGGTTCAAACCACCAACCTTTATGTTAGCAGTCAAACACAAACTGTTGATACCATGGACCTGAATATGTAGGGTATAGCTATAAAAAATTCAGACTCATATGTAGACACAGATTAAGAACTTATATATTCAAAGGAGTCATCTTAGAACATTACAGCTTATTATAGTGATGTTGTGTTGTTCAAAATATTTCGAAAATTCTTTTTTAGCAATAGTGTCTAAGCCAAGCCTCTCTCCCTATTCAATCCACCCTTGCCAAAGTCTTATTATTTGATATTCATGATTTTTTCTTTTTAAACCAAGAAAGGTATCATGCAACATTTGTTTTTCTTATTCACTGAACTTAGCTTTAAATTACTTTGGGTTATATAAAAAAAAATCAAATCTTCTCTCAAAGCACAAAAATTTTATACTACTTAGGATATACAAAAGAATGCACTGCAGACTCTGAAGGCAATTCTAAATGTTTTGTGTGAAGACAGGATCTCTGAAATAAGTGTGACTCTTCCAAAGGTGCAGACTTTGAAGGGTACCATCTTCATTTGGATATTTTAGTTCTGCTGTACTGACCAAAAATCTAGCCACATTCCCGAGTCACAAACTGCATTCAATTCATCAAACATTCCAATAATCAGAACTGATAGACATCTTTGGAATTCTTTGCTCCCAAAAAGAGCACCCTAGCACATTCCTGCTTCTGCCCAAATGTCAGGAAGATGGGATGCCTTTAATGTTGGGTTTCAGGACAATTGCAACAGGACCCCATACTGCTGAGCCCTAATCAGGATGCAGCTTTGAACTGCTAGGAAGGCAACATCAGAGCAGAATGGAACAGTCAAGACACTAGACCAAGAATCCTACTCTTCCTAACTTCTACTGATAAAAGAAAACAACTCAGTGACAATGTATTGGAGTCAGGTAAAAAATGGGCCTAACCTGGCAATCTACTTCTGAAAAAATCAGCCATTGAAAACACTATGGAGCACAGTTCTACTCTGACATACATGGGGTCGCCATGAGTCAGAGTCGACTCGAGGGCAACTGGTAAAACTAACTGGTCTTGTGTGTTACGGGAAATCATGGTGGTTGGAATGCTTGTCGTAGATGGTGTTTGTTAACTTTCTGTTGTGAACTCTGTTGGTTATAGAAGGTTAACTGCCCACAAACTTTGTGATAATTATGCACAGACTGCCTGTCATGGATTGAATTGTGTCCCCCAAAAATACGTGTATTAATTTGGCTAGGCCATGATTCTCAGCATTGTGTGATTGTCTACCATTTTCACATCTGATGTGATTTTCCTATGTGTTGCAAATCCTACCTCTATGACGTTAATGAAATGGAATAGGTGGCAGTTATGTTAATGAGACAGGACTCAATCTACAAGACTGGATTGTGGATTGAGCTGATCTCTTTTGAGATATAAAAGAGAGAAGCTAGCAGAGAGACAGGGTATGTGGCTAAGAGATCCAGGGAAGAAGAGATGGCATTTGAGGAGGGTCTGGAAGGATCTAGAGAATTTGGACATTGAGGGGGCAGGAAATAAGCACTCTGAAACTGTATCAAGAAATAATTAAAAGCTCTTTTAAAATACGTATTTTCAATTCTTTACAGAGAAACTCAAATACAAGAAGAATAAAATTTAGCTAAGCCAAAGGGCTGAGTCAGTGGCAGAGCTGAGAGAAACTCTCAACAAGTTCTCATAGCCAGGCTTCTGTTTAGGAAATTTTAAGATGCTTGGGACAAAGAACCCTGGGTTTTATTTCTGAGTTTATCTGACTCATTCAAGGTGACACACCAACTGAGTCATGAAGCTTAAGTTCTGGGAAAAGAGCGCTCAGACTGCCTGACCAGAGGAAGATTTCCTACACTCAGTACTAGCAGGAGCTCAACTTTGGTAGTGTTGTTTTTCCTCGTAGTCAGGAATCATCCATAAATGCTGGTTATTGAGCACAGGGCCAGTGAGAAAAACTCGTCTTCTATGCCTTTATATTCTAGCACAGCAATCTCTTATCTAGGAGGGAGAGGGAGCAAGGAAGAAGAGGTGTGTAGACCAAGACTTCAAGGCAGGTTCATACAGGAGTTTCCAGGGGATTATGAAGATCTTCAAGCCTCTAGATGGGATGACCTGGCCTCCCCAACTCCTTGCATCCCTTTTCCATTTCCTGCTTCCACTCCCTTTTAGCTTTTAAGTTGCAGGTTCTCCAAGGGAGGCTGCAGGAAACAGCTTTTGCAGGAGAAAGCTTTAAGATGAACACTGATTTTTTTGTTGGCAAGGGATGCTAATGAATGCCAGGGACACTGGAGACCTAAAAAACATGGCCCAAGTCCTTTTAGGGCCTAAGAGATAAAAAAGTTTAAGAGCAACTGCTTCAGGTGGGGTCATCCCCCTGTTCTTCATTTGGAAGGGGTTCTTCTTCTTCGTCTTCCTCCTCTGTGTAAGTCTTTTATTCCTGGTTCAATGAGGTGAGCCAGGCAGTGTGGCACAGTGGAGAGACCAAGGGCTTTGAAGTTAGATGTGAGTTTGAATGCCAGTGCTACCTCTTCTAGAGATGTGACCTTGGACAATTTATTTATACCCTATAACACCTCCTCTTTTCTATAATAATATCATGGATGTAAAGTACCTAGCTTGATTCCTAGCACATAGTATATACTTCGTAAATGCTAGTTTCTCTCACCTTCTTTATCCTGCCTTTTAAGAGAATGACTGTATCTGTATCTCTAAAGAATGAAACAGACATCACTGCTAGAAAAGATATGTACAAGGACCCAATGTTCCACAATTGTATCAATATCAAATATGAACAAGGATTATGGCAAGGTTTTTGGTGTCACAGACATTACACATCCAAAGAGTTGATAGTATAAGAAAGAGGAATTTCTACCTTGATTTGGGGAAGTTTCTTTCTTATGATGTGGTTTCAAGAGCTCTCTGGGGGGTGAGATAAGGGAGCTTGCTGATTTCAGACAGGAAGGCTGTTTCAGACACAAACCCCAGAACAATGACAAATGGTTTGGAAGTTGAATAAGAATAATAAAATAGCGAACATTTTCCTCAGCAAAACAGGGTGGGTGTGGGGAAAGAAGGTGAAGTAATTTGGGAGTGTGGAGTAAAAGGCCTTGGAATCCACTAAGAAGGGCTTGGATTTTTCTTTTATTAGATGAGATGGTAGTGTAGAGTTTAGAACCTGGGTTTGAGTCCTTGTTCCGTCCTGTGCTAATTGTGTGCTCTTAGGTTAAGCATAGAACCCAAGTTTCAGTTTTACTCCCAAGCAATATGGGGATACAAACACCTATCCAGTCCACCTCAGTGTTGTCCTGGGGATCAGAGCAAACCACTAACCGAGCAGCCCTTTACAATGTAAGTATGTGTGAAGTGCCTTTTAGATTAGTGGCAATCAGATGTGTTCTCTCTCTGAGGCGGAAACCTTTGCCTCACAAAACAAGAAACAGTAAAAGCCCTCAGACAGTTTCCATGATAGGCACTGAATCCATTCCAGGATAGAGGAGGTAAATTCCTATGGTAGAAACCAAGCTTCTTTCATGCTTTCTAGCAGAAAACACTATAAAAATCAGTGTAATTCTCATGGCTGTTCTCTACACAAGGGCTTGAACTTACTGGCCAGAAATCAGGGCTACATGGAACTAACCACAAAAATTCTCAACAAAAACTCTTAAGGGAAAACTAAAAATTAGAACAAAGAAAGCTTGTACTTCATAACATTTCAAAGTCAAAAAGCAAATCAGTGTTACTAAGGAAGTGATGTTATTATTTAAAGATCAAGGCAACATATGGCTTTAAAGAGAGAAAAGCAAATTGACAAAAATAGTCTATCTTTTCTAAAAAAGAGTAATTCCAACACTTAAAACATCTGTTAAGAACTCCCTACTTCAAAAAATGAAGTCTGAATTACAGGTATGATTTTTGCAACAGAAACAGAATTTGGCAAATAAGTTGTTGCTTCTTCTCATTTTTTCTCAATTAGAATTAAAAAAATAACTTCTTTTTTTCATTATCTGAAATAGTGCGCTGTAAAGCGTGATCTACGTTATCACTACCGACTTGCGGACTGTTCATTAATGGTCTGTCCTAAGATAAGCGTGGAAACAGAGAGTGCAAATTCAGAAACTTTCATGGCAATCTGACCGAGTCATTTTTATGTCTGTTGTATCTAATAACAAAAAATTGGTCTTGTGTTTTGTAAGTTTTTTGTTCGTTTTATGTTTCTAGTTACCCATTTTTATTTTTATTTTTTATAAAAGTGTTAGTCCATATGTGAGAAGCACTACGATAGCCTTATTTTGGAAATGAGATTTAGCACCTTATGAAGAAACTTCTGATGGTAGAAGTCACAAATGACCTATCTTAGAGAAAAGTGTCCAAAAAATTCGTGGGAGTACATTAACCACGGAAAGAGGCAAAGGGGAAATATTTCATAAAATGTATTTAAGATACCCAGCAGGAAAGCCATAAAAAATGGTTACCAAGAGGAAGCATTTGCCAGGTTATTCAGAACACATGCATTCATACTTACTAGCAGATTCTATAAACTTAGGATAGGCATCATACGAGATGAGTGGAATTGGCAAATCCCTGAAGTACAGTTTAAGCGCACCAGTGATAATGTTGATATCTTCATACATGTTCACAGAAATATCTGCTTTCTCACCATCTTTTAAGAATGTCAAAAGAAATAAAAATCAATAACCGGACCCAGAGCAATGTTTTAAAAAAATGTATTTGTGTATACAATCAGTTTTTAAAGATTAGCAATGCTTCAGTTTTTAAACATCAAATTTAAGGTGCTGAATTATATACATCAATGATCAATTTTCAGTGAAACAGCAAAAAGTTTCCGTTCTGAAGTTATTTTTCCATGCTTTACTACTGGAGGGAGGGGGTGTGTGGGAGAAGAGTGAGGTCAATAGAAATACCTCTGAATGTTTAAGCTTCTTGAGAGTCCCAGGGAATGATGTACATTTGCTTTAAAAATTTTTTTTTTTAAATAAAATAGAGAATATGAAACATAGCAACAGAGGCACTCCCAATGTACAGAAGAGGAGACCCCCAGCACAAAAGGCTGCCTCTGTTTCACCCTAGGCTCCTACACATAACACTTGGATCTTGCCTGAGCCCTGGGAAAGGGAAGGCAGCGAAAAGTAAACAAAACGGAACTTAGGGTTTTGAAATAACAAGAATAAGAGAAATTATAAAACGGGGGATTGCTTTGGAAGTCCTGACATTTGAGACTCTCCAGCAAAGCTGGCCTTCCTTCCCAGTGGCCCCTGTTGCACACATCAGCATTTAGTGCTTTACTTTGTTAAAATATCTTGAATTTTCATCTACTAAAGATTTAATTAGTGTCTACTCTGAGCTACATCTTATCCTAGATTTCTTTAATTTGGCTTATAAAATATTTCTGTGGGTTAAAAAGTAGTCTCTTTTAAGATGCAAACACCTCCACCTATCAGACACATCCAAGTAAGAACTGAATTAGGTCACCCGTGTCCTTTCACACGTGGTTTGAAATCAGATGCAGAGGCAGTGCAAGTTGGGATAAAGTGCTTTCTGGAAGGAAAAGTGAATAGACTGCTTCAATGGGGGACCCTTGGGGATGCATGAAGGTGCTGGGGCCTAAGGACCTGGAGAAGGGGGTGGGGAGCACAAAGGAAGGTAGAAGAATGCCAAAGGCGAATATCAACATTTTTACTCAGGGAAGAGAAGGAATAAAAAGTTTCCTTCTCTTTTGCCACATGGCTCCTGTTTCCAAAACCTAGGAGAATCCAGATTTCAAATATCCTGTCCCATTACAGGTCCAATTTTTAGAATGGAAAATAAAGTCACCATTATTATAGTTTAGTTATGTGATGGGTTAAACAGAATTTGGAGGCTAGTCTGAGAACCTTCTGCTAAGATAATTCTTTCTATGGGAAGATGTTGTGTTAATATCTCAGTCCACTCTCACTTCACTCACTACTCTTTAAGTTCTAGTACCATTCAGTGCCTCTCCACGGTCTGCCTCAGGGCCTTTGCATACTCTTCCTTTCCCAGAGGCTTTACGTATCCTGTGTCTTTGCTACTCAACTTATATACAGCCAACTTCTATGCATCTTTTAAGCTTTAGCTTAAATATTTCTTTTTCAGGGAAACCTATTCTGATCTCCATCATCCCCCCATCCCCACCCCCAGTCTAGGTTAAGTTTCTCCAGCTAGTAATAGTTTCCCTTATGGCATTTTATTAAAATAAATAATCATTGTGATTATTATTTCATGTGAACCCTCCATGAGCGCCAGGACCAAGTATACACGGCTAACTGCTGTATCAAAAGTAAAGAATACAGTGCCTGGCACACAGTAGCTGCTTAATAAATATTTTTGAATTAATAAATCAACAGAAAATAGATTTAAAAACCTAGGAGCCTAAAAGATAAACATTCTGGGACTTACCATGTATATTTAATTGAGCTGACTCTTTAGAAAACTGCTTTTTCATTAGACTATATAGTCCCTTCAGTCTTAATATAAACATATTTTTGAATTTGATATCCACACATTATATTCTAATAGTGCTATGAAATATTGTGCATTCAGTAACATCTTTGTTCCCTGATTGTTTCACTACTTCTGGTTCCTGACTCTTACGCCAGACTAGGGCTCTCCTGGGGCAAGGCTCAGGGTTTTTATTTGCTTTGACCTTCCCGCGGACCCCGCAGTGCACCGGTCACAGAAATATTTGCTGTTCCAGGAGAAGATAAATGGAGCAAAGCTGTAATGGCATCTGCTGGCCTTCGGGAAGTCAGTTCTCCATTCAGTGACTGTCTCCTACACTAGGGAAGATTTTTCAAATTCTACTTTCTTCCTTGACATTTGAATTAAATGAGTTCATTCCTGCATTCTATGGATCCTGCCTTTCTCTTCTTTTTTTAAATAGACTTTTTTTTTTTTTTTAAAGAGCAGTTTTAGGTTTAGAGAAATTGTACAGAAAGTAGAGAGTTTCAGTTTATTTCCCCTTCCCCCACATTGTTTCTTTTATTAACATCTTGCATTCCTGTAGAACCTTTATTATAACTGGACTGATATTGATACATTATTATTAACTGCAGTCCATAGTTTACACTAGGGTTCATGCTTTGTGTTGTACAGTCCTATGGGTTTTGACAAATACTTATATGTTATGTGTCCACCATTACAGTACCATGAAGAATAGTTTCACAACCCTAAAAATGCCCTGTGCTCCACCTATTCATCCCTTCTCCTTGGCAACCACTCATCTTTTCACTACCTCTATAGTTTTCCCTTTTCCAGCTACATACTGAATAATTCCATATTGTTGGAATCATTCAGTATGTAGTTTTTTTGGACTTGCTTTTTCACTTAGCAGTATGCATTTAAGGTTCCCCTATGTCTTTCTGTGGCTTGATAGTTCATTTCTTTTTTTATTGTCAAATAATACTCCATCATATGGATGCACCACAGTTTATCCATTCATCTATTAAAGGACATTTGGTTGCTTCCAATACTTGGCAATTATGAATAAAGCTGCTATAAACACTTGTGTACAGGTTTTTATGTGGACGTATGTTTTCATTTCACTTGGTTAAATACCTAGAAGCCTTCTTTTTTTCCCCTGGATCTCATTATTTGAAGTTTAAGCCTCCCAGAGTGACTGCTCTTAATTATTTCAAATTTACTTTGCTTTCTTAACTTGATACCCCATTCCTTTCGAACACTCATCAATTTGGGGCAGCATTTATGTTCAGAATTAAGTTATCTGAGCCACTTTGTTAAAAATCTTTACATCATTCCTTCAGATTCTACACATGACTGCTGGTACAAATCACTAGGGTCGAAGAACTTGACCCCAACGGTGCAGCTATACGGAACCAACGTGAGCTCTTCATGAATTTTCAAGTCTGTTATTGGTGTTTTCAGGGCATAAATAGGCTGTCTTACATCTTTAGCGGGAGGAAATTGTGTCATTTATTTGCTTTCTGGGGCCCATGGAAACACCCAACTTCTTTGTCAGTGTTAGCTTATTTCTGAGAATCATGGCCAGCGGCTGGGAATGGACATGCTCAGTTGCTACCTTCCAGAGAATAAAGATTTTTTTGACATTTAATTTGGCATGGATTCAGGAATTGTTCTTCTTGATGCTTATTTGGGTGTAACACATCATTACTGCCCCTCACCTCTTTTCTGCTCTTATCAAATACTTGGGCTAGCCTAGATTTCCTCATATCAGGTTGGTAAAAGTCACAATTTAAGTTAAATATTTAATTTCTTTTTGTCTTCTGCCTCCGTTGCCTATAAGAGGTTTGTGAATGGGCGATGAGTAAGATGAATTAGAAATATATACTTGCAAAGGAAAGAGGCTCTTTAAAAGATCACTACCTTTTTTTCATTCTTACTGTTTTTACTATTTGTATATGAGTCTACAGCTCCTCTTTAGTATTACATTATTCTAGTACTTAAAGACAAATTGGAGAACCACGGAAACAGATCTTGACTTAAATGTTAGTTAAAAAAAATTAATAAGCGCCACTGAGTTTTCTTTGCCCGATCCCCTCCTCCCACAGTGGGGCAGGTCGTGTGCCAGAAGGCCCTTGCCTCCTCTCAGGCTTCCTCTCTCCCACACGAGCCAAGACTTGGATCTTGGCTCAGTCAGAGACAGTGATGTGGGTGCAGAGCAGCACAGATGACAGGCAGAGCTAGTGGATCAACTCAAGCCAGGGAAATCCAAGTTTGTAAAGACTTACCCTCCCCTCCTTTTTTCTTTATGAGTTTTGGTAAATTTAATTGCTCTCTATGTATTTTGGTGAACACGAACCGGCCCTGGTTACTCAAATATTGATAATATTGTTAAATTTTGTGCTTTTTTCCTACCCTAAAATTTGACAGTTTAATACCTACAACTAATAAAAAAATTATAACAAATTATAAACTAAGCACCTGAATTTGTTTATTTGGTATAATAATCATCAATAATTTAGAACAATAATGGAAAAAAAAAACCCTAAGAAATAGTGCTTTTTTGGTAAAAAGTATCATTGCCTTAAGTGAATGAACATGCTGAAGAACACACCTCTGTCAAAAGCCATCTTGACGTCTTCAATTAGGTCACTGAATCCTGACACTCGGTATAGTCCTTCAGAATTGAGGCCTGGAAAGGAAAACCATGGGAGCTGATAAGTTTCTTCAACTTTTAACTTTTTCTCATACTTTGAGCTGGGGAGGTGATGTGGCAGAAAGAATGATGAAGTATACATGTTTAGAAAGCTTGTCACACTTTTCTCCTAAAATAAAACCACTTCACTCACAGTTCTTTAACTCTGACCTACTATCACCTGGACATCTGTAATTTGGCTCATCACCTTATCTAATTAGATCAAATATATTAAGTCTTAAGGGAAATCATTTATCACTCCAATTACATAACATTTTACATAATAGAAGACTAAGATAAACTACATTAATAGGCTTGTGGCAGTTTTCCCAAGTGGGAAAGAATAATTAGAGTGCTGCTCTGGTTTCTGGCCTTGGGTAGTTTTAATAGAGCAGTTTTAATTGCTCTTAGACTTAAAAAATACAAAAACTGAACTGAATTGGTCTCTGCGTCAACTGTAGCAGACTGGAAGCATCTTCTATAAATTTTGAAGCACTTTTTAAAATAACTGGTTAAATATACCTTGAAATCATGCTTTTTGATTACTTGTTAGATTAATTCATTTCAGACCCTCAGGTCATCTGACATCTGAAACCACTCCTCCCAGAAGAAGACAACCTGTGTTATTTAATGAGGCACACAGAAAGGTATTAGGACTCATTGGCGGTGAATGAAGACTCGTCTAAACTGCAGTGGAAATGCCTCACCTCTGGATTCAATTTCTCTGATGCACATGTCCACCACCATAGGCCGCTTAGTGATGTGTGCTTTTACGAGCGTTGTGAGGTCACAGCTGTACACCTTTTTGACATGTTTCAAGTCTGGTTTACAGTCATTTGGGACCATCTTGGAACACTGCTTATGAACATTCAAACCACAATCTAAAAAAAAAGAATAAAGAAAGGAAAAAAAATCATTACTGTTTTCACAAGGTTTGAGCATTCTGGAATGTTTATATTAGCAAAAGACACCCGAGCTTAAATTAGGTTTAAAAGGGGGCTTAGCCTTCAGCAGTTCCTTCAGAATAGGGAAATATTCCTCCCTCTTTTATCTTGGAAAACACTGGATATATGTCAGAAGACCAGAATTCTAGCTCAGGCTTCATCATTTAACAGCTGTATGATCTCAGGAGAATGCAAAAAAAAGACTGAAAACCAAAATTAATAAGTGTTTACCTAAATGTCTACAAAATGTAACGTTATGTCAGCCAGCCAACTAAAAACTTAATCCACTTATTTAAATCTACATACAAATTATATTTAATGTGGGATACAAATGTATTTTAAGACATTTGACATGATGTGGGATTGGACCTCCAAAGGTAATAGTATGCAGGGCCCTCTTTAAATGGTGCTGCTCCCGCTCATTTATTGCCACATTCACAATTCTTTGCATAAAGTAACTAATATATAATTCATCTCATGTAAAACCTGTACATAGACCAAGAGGCAGTCATTCAAACAGAACAAAGGGATACTGTACGTTTTAAAATCAGGAAAGGTGTGCATCAGGGTTGTATCATTTCATCATACTTATTCAATCTGTATGCTGAGCAAATAATCCAAGAAGCTGGACTATATGAAGAATGTGTGGCATCAGGATTGGAGGAAGACTCATTAACAACCTGCAGAATGTAGATGACACAACGCTGCTTGCTGAGAGTGAAGAGGACTTGAAGCACTTACTGATGAAGATCAAAGACTACAGCCCTCAGTATGGCTTACGCCTCAATATAAAGAAAACAAAAATCCTCACAACTGGATGAATAAGCAACATCATGATAAGTGGAGAAAACAGTGAAGCTGTCGAGGATTTCATATTACTTGGATCCATAATCAACATCCAAGGAAGCAGCAGTCAAGAAATCAAATGACGTATTGCATTGGGCAAATCTGCTGCAAAAGACCTCTTTAAAGTGTTAAAAAGCAAAGATGTCACTTTAGGACTAAGGTGTGCCTGACCCAAGCCATGGTATTTTCAATCGGCTTATACACATGCAAAACTGGACAGTGAATAAGGAAGACTGAAGAAGAATTGATGCCTTTGAATGATGGTGTTGGTGGAGAATACTGAATATACCACGGACTCCCAGAAGAACAAACAAATCTGTCTTGAAGAAGTAAAGCCAGAATGCCCCTTAGTGAGGATGGTAAGACTTTGTCTCATGTACTTTGGACATGTTATCAGGAGGGACCAGTCCCTGGAGAAGGGCATTATGCTTGGTAAAGTAGAGAGTCAGTGAAAAAGAGGAAGACCCTCAGTGAGATGGACTGACACAGTGACTACAACAATAAGCTCAAACACAGCAATGATTGTGAGGATGGTGCAAGACTGGGCAGTGTTTTGTTCTGTTGTACACAGGGTCGCTATGAGTTGGAATTGACTCAATAGCACCTAACAACGACAACCACAATATATAATTCATCTAGTAGCTAAAAATAGGTATTATTGTTACTTCTACTACTATCACCAGTTAACATTTATTGAGGGCTTATGAGTGCCAGGAACTGTTCCAGTTGCTCTATATTTATTATTTCATTTAAACTCACAAAGCTCTACAGAATAGGTACTATTATTCTTCTCATTTTATAGCCGAGGAAACCAAGCACAGTAAGTCTCAAGTAATTTATGCAAGGTCATGCATTTAGTACATAGTGGAGCTGGGATTCAAGCCTAGGTATGATTCTAGAGTTCCTGATTTTAACAACTACACCATATCACCTCTGCAGAAGTTAGATTTTTGCTAAATTAAAATTTTACTGGGTTATACCTTCTAAGATGCCAGAATCCAGACATTTTGTAGTTAACATCCAAGACACTCATATTTTTCAACAGAAGAGTACAATGAAATTTTAGAAGGGGCAGAGAAAATACAAATATTTTGCTACATTAGACTGAGGAGTGATAAATCATAAGCTGAATAATTCAATTAAAGTAAGTCACTGTCATCTGTATGTTTTTAAAAACATAAATCATTTGCTTTTAAGTTCATGAAAGCTAGGTGTTGATGTCTTATAAATAAATCAAAGTGGGCTTATAAAATTTACAGCCAGGTCCTAATGAAACCAATTTGAAAATTGTCATGGTTTGAATTATGTCCCCCCAAAAATGTGTACATCAGTTTGTCTGGGCCATGATTCCTGGTACTGTGTGATCTTCCTGTATGTTGTAAACCTGCCTCTATGATGTTAATGAGGGAGGATGGGTGGCAGTTGTGTTAGTAAGGCAGGACTGGATCTACAAGACTGGATTGTATCCTGAGGCAATCTCTTGATATACAAGACAGAAGTGAGCAGTGAGACGGGGGACCTCATACCATCAAGAAAGCAGTGCCAGGAGCAGAGCACGTCCTCTGGACTGGGGTCCCTGTGCAGAGAAGCTCCTCGTCCAGGGGAACACCGAAGAGAAGAAGGCCGACAGAGAGAAAAAGCCTTCCCCTGGAGCTGACACCCTGAATTTGGACTTTTAGCCTGCTTTGACTGTGAGGAAATAAATTTCTCTTCATTAAAACCATCCACTTGTGGTATTTCTGTTGTGGCAGCACTAGATGACTAAGGCAAAAATCATACAATGTCATGACCACTGTCTGTGATCCTTGGGCAAGCCATAGTTTTGCTTGCTTTTTTGGGCAGATATTCTTATGAAAAGTTATGAGAATTAAATAAGACAATGCATTCAAGCTGCTTTACATACTGTAAATGCTAGACAAATGCTGGTGATCATAATTATTATTTTCAGTAAAATTTACTAACTGCAATCTAGTCATATATGGTAATAGCAATTACTAGACGCAAGGAAAATTAGCCTAAAAATTATAAATGGAATTGTTCTTTAGTTAAATATGTAGACAATGTCAACTTGAAATAAGAACTCTAAGGGTTGTGGTGCCTCTAAGGGAGGAATCCATATGTACTGAGTACCTCCTATGTGCAAAGACAGGTTAGGTGTAGAGGGAAGCCCAGGCCCAATTACTCTGGGTCTTCGCACATGTCTGTAAGTAAGTGAAGAGCACTAAAGATGGCCTTGCCAGTGCTAATAGTGCCCAAGCATTATCATCACTAAAGAACAGCAGCTTCTTCTCTGAATACACAAAAGCTTCCAGAGCAAAGAGCTTAATTTACATTGTCTCAAGAAATGACCCAACATTATTCTGTACAATCAAATAATGTACAAATGACTTCATAACCAAAACCACAAATTCCTCTTAATATCCAAATTAGATAATATATAAAAATTTAGATTCAATTATAAGGCAAATCAATGGCAAAATGTCCATTTAAAAGACATTATGGTTTCCCCTGAACACTTTAGTATTTTCAATAACTACTACACCTTGCAGTTAGATCTAGAATCTATTAGCTGTGTGATCTTGAGGGAGTTACTGAGCCTTCCTGTGCCTCAGTTATATACAAAATGGGGATAATAATAGTACGTTTATCTATGAGGTTTAAAAGACATTATGGTTTCCCCTGAACATTTTAATATTTTCAATAACTACTACAACTTGCAGTTAGATCTAGAATCTATTAGCTGTGTGATCTTGAGGGAGTTACTTAGCCTTCCTGTGCCTCAGTTATACAAAATGGGGATAATAATAGTATGTTTATCTATGAGGGATCATGAAAGGCTTAAATGTTAATATGTGTAAAGTATTCAGGAAAGTCCTTTACACATAGTAAATTATAATTATTTACCATGATTCTGTTGTTGTTATTATTTAAAAGAATGAAACAACATTTTGAGAGGCCTTTCCTATGTAGTACCCCAAAGCTAGTTATACAGTATTGGCATAATCCACTTAAACTCAAAGCCAATTTTGCATTTGTCAGATGTGATTGTCAGGTCCTGAAAAGGACTTGGATGACCAGGGTTATAGATGCTTCCACATCTACACTGTTCTGAACACATTTCATTTACTTAACGGTACCTCCAAGTATAATATATCTTGCTTTAAGAAGTAATACACCCCTCCTCTCTTGACTGCTTTTCAAGGTTTTTCACTGTCTTTAGTTTTCACAATTTTGATTATGATATGTTTAGGCATGAATTTCTTTGGGTTTATCTGTTTGGAGTTGAATCAGCTATTTAAATCTATATGTTTATGTGTTTCACCAAATTTGGGAAGTTCTTAGTCATTAGTTTTTCAGCCTTGCATCTCCTTTTCTGAGACTCCAATGACATAATTGTTATTTTTTTCTTATTGTCCCATAGGTCTCTGAGGTTCAGGTCACTTTTAAAAATATATCTTCTGTTTTTCAGAGTGGATAATTTCTACTGGTCTATCTTCAAGTTCCCTGATCCCTTTCTCTGTCATCTCCATTCTGTTTTGAGCTCAACCAGTGAGTTTCAGTTACAGTATTTTTCAGTTCTAAAATTTCCATTTGGTTCTTTTTTTATACCTTTATTTTTTGATATTTCCTGTTTTTTTCCACTTCAAGGGTGTTCATAATTGCTAGTTAGAGCACTTTTATAACAGCTGCTCTCCTTGTCTGATAATTGCAACATCTGTGTCATCTTGACGTTGGCATCTGTTGACTTTTTTTTCACTCAAGTTGAGATTTTACTGGTTCCTTGTATGGTGAGTAATTTTGGACTGTAACTTGGACATTTTGAGTATTATAAAACTCTGGTTCCTATTTAAATCTTCATTTTAGCAGGTAGTCAACCTGTTTAGGTTTAGAATGCACATCCTGGGTTAATTTTGTAGGCTGTAGTTAGAATGTCAACTTAGTTTACAAAGCCTTTGCAGTGCTATTTGCCTGCCCTGCTGCATTACCCAAATGAAACAACATTACCTCACATTCTCTGCAGTGCTAGGTGGGGAGGGAGAGGGCCACCACCTAATTACTGCAGGGTGGGATGGAAGTCAGGGCTTCAGACA